AATGATTGTCAGAAACATCAAGATATTTCGAAAATTTGGATGCTTTTATATATACTTGCGGAATGCCTAAAGAAAAAGAGCAAGAATAAAGTAGAATGAAGAAAAAGAGCAAGAATAAAGTAGAATGAAGAAAAGAGCAAGAATAAAGTAGAATGCCTGAAGAAAAAGAGAAGAAAAAATACATTTTACGGTAAAATTTAGTATTTGTATTTTTTTTTAAATTTAAAACTTTTTAATCTTATGATATTTGATTTTTACGATTTCAAAAAAAAAATATTTGACTAAAATATGAATAACATTTAAGAAGCCAAATGTAGGATAAAATTGTGTAAAGCAATGGGCACAATGATAAAACTGTTTAAAGCAGTGTATGCAAGTCATCCTAAGTTAAAATGTTGCAATAGTTAAATGTCTATTGCAACAATAGTTAAATGTCTATTCCTAAGTTAAATGTCTATTCCTAAGTTAAATGTCTCTCTTATTTATATATATTTTTTCTGAACGGAACATTGAAAGGCGTGTTAACTGTGCTTTACTGTATTTTCTCTTTTAATATACGCAGTTTTCAAATGCATCGTAGTCTGGGTTACAAAGTATTCCTCCGAAAGAAACGCAATTCAAATAAATAAAATCAAATTCTGGAAAATTTATATTAATAAATATATTTAAAATGCTCAGTTCGAAGGAATAAATAGAAAATTTTAAAACAATTATCTGAAGAGACAATGCAACACAAACAATTAAAATAAAAGTTAAGAATTTAAAAATTTCCTAAAATAATGACTATGACAAAAAATATATATAAAGAAAACTATTTGAAAAAAAATAAATGCTGCACCTTTATTTACGCAGTTCGATATAGGTAAGTAGAAATTTTTGAAACAGTTATTCGAAAAAAAAAAAAACCATGCAACTTAAACAATTAAAATGAAATTCGAAAAAGAAAAAATTACTTAAAATTAAAAATATAATATAAAGAATTTTATTTGGAAAAAAAGGAACGATGGTGACTTTTTTCCCGCTCAACTAGGTTGCCATATATTAAGAATTTCGCCAAGTGAACTATTCTTGGCGCAAACTGACAAAAAAGTGCAAACATAAATTTGTGAATTTCTCCGTAACTGTCGCTCCAAATTTTACAAAATTTCATATTTAGGCGTAATTTGAGTCGTAGAATCGAAATCTGTAAAAAAATTGGTATGTTATTTCAGAAAAAGTCCAATTTTGTGTCAAAATACCTATGTTAGAATAGTGCTATATATAAATCTAATATATATCCTAAGTCACGCTTTCGAGACATGAAGAACGCAATTTGAATTTTGTCAATCGGCCCAGTAGATCGGGAGATATAGGACTGTCCCTTTTTTTTTTTTTTTTTTTTTTGAGCAGTGTACATATACTAAAGGTGTCATTAAACTTTAAAATAATGGTCTAGACATCTCAATCCCTAATCCTTTATTTTTGGATTTTTTTAGAAAGAAAAGCAATGATATGAACTTCATGTGTTCTTTCAATTGAATTACAAGAGTCACTTACCCCACATATTTTTTATTATACTATGTTGCATGTCCTTCCCGGGATTGATAACATTGGGGTCCCATTTTATTGCATTATTTCTAATTTCAATGCTTCCTATCAATAGCCAAATATTTAATTACTAACTTATTCTCGTTATTTCCATTAATACTTTCATCACAATAAATTCACTTGAGTTTATCAATATTTTTTCTCCTAATAATATCAACAATTCCATCATACTATCGTTTCATATGCAGTTCTTGCATATATATGTTATTATAAGAAAATGCATTTAAATGTGTGTAAATTTTTTCTTGTTCTGAAACAAAGAATTAATCTACTTTACACAGGCTTTCCAAAATAATTATCACTACTGAATTGAAGGATTAGTCACAGAAAATTTTCCCAGTCCCATGTGGTGTTTACCTGCAATGTTCAGAGTAATTTAAATAAACAAGTTTATCTTTTAATAATGCTCTCTATTATAATAATAATAATTATAGCAATAAGTCTGTTTGTTATAAATTCAGGCGATTCTGCTATTCACTTCACTTTTAAATTAACACCCTTCTATTCCTTGACTTCTAGTTTTAATACTATATTGTATCATAAGCTCTCCTCTATTTATTCCCCTTCTCATGCCAGGGGCTGTGGGGAGCCGTGAAGTTAATGCATCATGGAGAGACAATGCTATTTATTCCCCTTCTTATGCCAGGGGCTGTGGGGAGCTGTGAAATTAGTGTATCATGGAGAGACAATGCTCAGCCATATTTTTCATTAATTATACATTTATTACTATGTTCATTAATTATATGTTCATTAATACATTTAATTAATTTTTATCTATTTCTTGATATAATAGTTCCGTAAGTTTTTCTCAATACTTATGAAGTAATCCTTGTTCTCCATTTCATTTTCTTAAAGCACTATTCTGTCACTTAGTTCTTTCAGTTTAAAAATAATTCTTTGTTATTGCATCAGATTTGTGTTCAATTATTTTCCTACAATTTTCCAACTTGTTACTTCCTTTTACAAGATTACTATATTAGTCTTCTCAGCATTGGCATAAGCTGACTTTTTTTTTTTTTTTTTTTTTTTTCTGCTTGAGACCGTTAGTATCGAAATTGTGTGTGCATGAAAGTGGTACAATCTTGCACTCTATAAAAAAAAAAAAAAAAAAAAAAAAAAAAAAAAAAAAAAAAAATCTGTGATCTCAATGAAATAATGCAATAAATCGATGATTCCTTACTAATATTTTGCAAAACAAAAATAATTTTATTAAACGAGAGTTTGAGCGATAAGACATCGACAACTGGCAGAGAAGAAAAGATGTAAAAATTGATAACTACAAGGAGAGTTATTTCAGTAGAAGTAAACAATGATGAAAAACAAAAATGACAGATGTGATGTCTGCTTAAATAATCTTTGCACTCGAAAGTATGCTACCAAGTAAGCTAAAGTGATACCTTGAACCATTCATCCCAACTTGATCGACAAATCTCTCATTTTGTTTTAGTAAAGTTGCAGGATTTACAAAAGCAGTGTGGTGTGTTCTCTAAACACACTGCTTTGCTTTTGTAAATACTGCAACTTCTTACTAAAAAAGTTCCACATAGTTCCCAATAATGCACAGGTAGATTTTGCGAAGAGCAAACTGTAAAAAAAATGTTTCTTATATAAATGTTGCTAAAAATAGAGTGCTGAGTACTACTCAAAATTGCAGATTTTTTTTTTCCAAAATTAATAATTATTCTTAAGTAATTCATTTTCCTAAAAATCTAATTAAAAGTATGTACTTTTGTATGCAGTGAATTGGAAGTTCATTAGTAAAAAATATTTCTTAATTGCAGTTCTGTTTTATTTCCTTGGACCCAAAGACTTCTTTCCTCTTCTCCTATTAACACTACTAAAATTAAAGAGAATGTCTTAGAATTAATGGTTAAATAGAATCAAAGAAATATAGAATCATTCTTTTGTACTATGAACAATGATTAAGTAATATGGCTAATTAGGGATTGATTTGTTTTCATGAGCTTCTTTATACAAGGTCCAGCTATTAATTTCCAGGACTGACATAACTGTAGGAGAACGAAAAGTCAGAAGATGGTGCTAATAATTGCATATTGAAGAGCGTTTTCTTGCGCATGTGCAGTGCAGTGCAATCGGCGCTATTCTGAAATAAGTGTTTCTCGTGGAAAGGCACTTTAAAACATAGCTCTTAAATTCTTATTGTCGAAGTGAAAATGGAGCAAAGAATTAACATTAAATTTTGCTTCAAATTGGGGCAAGACAGCTGCGGAAACCTACGAAATGTTAAAATAAGTTTGCGGCGAGGAAGCATTATTCTGCTCAAGAACTTTTGAATGGTTTAAACGCTTTCACGACAGGCGCGAAAGCGTCGAAGATGATCTACACACAGGTCGGCCACAGTCCGTACGCACGGCGGAAGCACCTGAAAAAATTCGCGATATGGTGAAATGTGATCGTCGACTGACTATTCGAGTACTCGCCAATGAATTCAACATGGACAAAGAAACGGTTCGTCGAATTTTGATGCAAGACCTAGGCAAAAGCAAGATTTGTTCCAGATTCGTTCCTCACCATTTAAGAGACGAACAAGAGCTATTGAGACTGGATGCATGTGGCGAACTTATCGACAACGCTGATACTGACCCTGTGTTCCTGGATAGGATAGTCACCGGGAGATGAGTCTTGGTGTTATCAATATGACCCTGAAACCAAGCGTCAAAGCTCCAAATGGCGGTCTCCAAGTTCACCACGGCAGAAAAAATTTCGATTTGAAAAATACAAAATCAAGATCATGTTAATCGCTTTCTTCGATTGCGATGGACTCATTCATCATGAATTTCTTCCTCCTAACATGACTATCAACGGACAGTTCTACACAGTTCTACACAGAAGTTCTTGACCGACTTCGAAAACGAATTCGTAGAGTGAGGCCTTATTTTCAACAAAATGGGAGTTGGCTGCTGCTACATGACAATGCCCGCCCCCGCATTGCATTGTCTGTGAGGCAGTTCTTAGCCCAGCATGGTGTCATTGAAATGCAGCATCCACCATACTCTCCAGACCTAGCACCCGCAGACTTTTTCCTGTTTTCTAAGCTGAAAAATTCGCTGAAGGGAACAAGATTTCAGGATGTCGAAGCCATCAAGAAAATTGTGGCATCACTTCTAAAGAGCATTCCAAAAGAGGACTTTAAAACTTCTTTTCGAAATTTGTACAGCTGAGCACAGATGTGCATTACGGCTGATGTGGATAACTTTGAATCATATTAAATGGCTATGTGTTTAACCTTTTTTTCTTCTGAGTTATTCCATGAGTCCTGGAAATTAATAGCCAGACCTTGTAGTTCTAGAAATATTGTGAATGATTAATACTGGAATAAATTTTATTATTTGAGAAATGTGTAATATTGTTTAATTTTAATTTTAATTTGGATATTTTTGTATTATTTAAAGCTACCTCTTGCCAGACAAGAGCAAAAGTAGTAAACAGAAGACACCTGTTGTAAAAAAGAGCCGGCACCCCAAATGGTACTACACAGTCATCTATGAAGATTTGAGTATTGATGAACTTAAGGAGAGGAGTCTAGAGCTTACAGTTTGGGACCATGACAAGCTTTCCAGCAATGAATTCATGGGTGGTGTGAGACTGAACACTGGCACAGGTAAATTTCTTGACTTTTAATGATTTTATTTTACATTTGTGACTATGAAAATGAGTTACCGAGTAATATTTGCAAAACTGTGGCATTCTGAGATTTGACTTTTGTTATTTTTATAGATATAAAGTAAATGTATTGTGCGTTAACTGATCTAGTTGACTGATAATTTTTTGCCAATCAGTAGGCATTTAAATTGCAAAATTTGTTAGATTTACAGTAAGCATGTATTTTTTGTTTCCTACATAAAAATTATATGAAATATTTAACTGGCAGAACAGATCTGTTATGAAATATCTGCCAAACTTTAGAATTTCACATCAGTAGAAGGATATGCTGTCATGCTGAGGACAGGTCTTAGTATAGTATTCATCGTCCTCCCAAATGTGGAGAGTGCTCCGCTTAAGCGAAATGCCATTCTCAGAAAGGCATAAATGCAATTTTGGAAACATGTTTGAAAATAATGAGAGATTAGATCTAGCATAGTCATGTAATTTGTTCATTTAGTCTTCCTAATTATTTCTTCGGTTATGGGCAGTGAATAAATGGGGTATTTAGTAATACTCTTTAATTTTCAGTAACTCACTGTAAAACACCATGCCTTACGGTCCGTTGGTGGGAGGTTATTATTTTTACGGCATGGTACTACCAGACTAGCATAAGGAGTGCTTATGGGAATTACGGTCCTTTTCTTGAACATTTCCTGGATATGTGTTTCAATTATATCCTCTTTGATTCTGTCACAGCAGTAGGACTTTGCTATGGAAAAGGCATTTCCTGTGCCTATGCTGTAGTTTGCAATTTGTGTTAGAGCTGGAGCATCATAATTTGGAAATTTGAATTCCAGCTTCGGTGTCTCTTCTGCATTCAAATGTTTCATCTTGATGTCTGGAAGAGGGTATAGTTCTATCTTCTCCACTAAGTCTGTATCATGGCTTTCTAGAAATTAATTTTAGCTCCACTGTTTTAAAAACATCCATTCCCAAAATTACAGAAGCATGCAGATTTTCCACAATGCAGAAAACCACTTTTTACTGTTTGTTTTTAACTTGAATTTGTAATGTGACTTTTCTTATACATGCACACTTTCGCCTTAAGCAGTGTCTGGGATGCAAAGAATAACACAACTGTTATTCTTTGCATCCCAGACACTGCTTAAATTGTATTTGGGGAAAGAAAGAAAAAAAAAAAAAACTATGCCAAGAAATTGCTTGGTTCCTTTGTATCCAATAATGTGTCCATTGCCACATTATTTAACAATATTTAGATTACCTATAGAGCCAAAATTTTTATGATTACCATATTCATTTGAATTAGAGGGATTTTCTATCTTCCAGGGTAACTGTACCATTTTACTTTCAGTACCCTTATTACTTTAACTTGTTACCCTTCCCTTGTTTCTTCTTTTGTGAATTATCTTAGCCATCTTGAATCACCAGTGAAAATTTCTTTCTATCTTTAAAACATGTATTACCGTCAAATTGTGACCTATAAATTGCTACAGGCCTATAAAACTGTTTGTTTGACCTTTGGCCATATCCTATTTTACATGTACTTTGTGGAACCTTCCTAGTTTCGAATCTCACCATTAACTCAAATAGTTGCTCAAATGTGCTTGAGTTGCTTAACTCAAAGAAGTCCTGAATGTATGGTAACAGCTAGGCATCATATTACCTCTGCATTAGGCCTTTTACCCTACAACAAGTTAACACCAAATGCCTTCATGGGATTTACTAGTGCCAGAGGAGCCGTGATCCTCACTTTGGTTCAAGCACTATTATTAACTTAGGTAATCATCTTGGCTATCATAAATTGTAAATATATTCAAATACCAGCAATTATAAAGCAAATCCAAAGCCTACAAGTGAACTAGCAGCAATTTAGTCACGTCATGTCAAAAGGCGGAACATGCTCAGTCTTACAATCTAAAAAACCTCCATTTAAATATGTGCGAGCTATGCATTCTGGCATGGAAATTGAATGAAGAAGTGACAGCAAAGGTCTAAATCATAATAAAACGTTACTGTTTCAAAAACAAAAACATCTTTTCTAAGTCAAAGTTTTTTAATTAAGTTAGTGTTTTTCATGATGGCAAATAAATAATTTTTGCAGTTGTTAAACATGTTTGGTTAATCCCCTTAATTTTTTATAATGTTATAACCCATTTTTATATACTGTATACACAAAATATTATATGTTGAACAGATGGAGAAATGAATATTTGATTCTTTTTTTAACTTAATTTTTGAACTTCCTGGTTTAGAAGTTTGATTACAGCAAAGTAGGCAAGGGCTATCTGCTCGAGGGAAGAAGAGATCCTTTTATGGGCCCATATATGTCAGAAAAGCATAAAAGATATCAATGCAGCTAATCTGTTCTCTGATATTGAATCCCCACCAAGCTACTAGTATCTAGTAGCCTGTATCCACTCTGTTATCTGCGGTTTCTCATAGTAGGTAGTAGTTTATAGTGGTTTCTTATAGCAGTTAATAGTAGAATATTACTTTTCTTATGGGATTTTCAAGGTTAATATTCTATTGGGATCTAGTGATTTGGGACTCATCTGATCATTTAGTGTCAGAGATGCTGCTTGGAAACAAAGATATCTCGATCCACATTGTCTTATTTCTTGATGTGGTTTGTATTTTAAGGTGCAATCTTATGATCTTCTCAACCTGCCAATAAACCTGTTGCAGAATTGTTGTGTTCTAGTTTTATAATAGTAAAATGCATTTTTACGTGATTCAGGGCATAGGTAAATTATATATCCATTAATATTTAAATATCATGTATAGAATATGTGTAATAATTGTTTCCATTTCTTTTGTAGGTTTATACCACGGTGTGTCAGTAGAGTGGATGGATGCTCGCCGAGATGAAGCTGCATTGTGGCAAGCAATGCTTGAGAGCCCTAATATGTGGGTTGATGGCTGCCTGCCATTGAGGCCAACCATGCAGTTTCGGCACAGCTGAAGCCAGATGCTTCGGAGGAACTGAGATTTACACCATGTAGATATGTTGTGATGTGCCAGGTGATTAAACAGTACAAAAGTTATTTTGTATGGAATCTGAACTTCTGAGTGACAGTTTGATCAGCTGTGATCATCATTGGAAAAGTCTTCATTTTGTTGAAATTCCATTATACGGCTTCATTAAAATGGTCTGCTTGTTAATTTTACTTCTTCATCTGTGCAAAGATTAAGTATTATAAAATTTGTATAATGTTGTAAGTTACTGCAAGATTTATAACAAGGAAAACAAGTATTTCCTTACTAAGGCTAGATATTTATTAATTTCTGTTAAAAGTGCCTATTTTATTCAAAGAAAGCCAGCCAAAAATATTTAATGTTCATGCAACAATATAGCAAAATACGCTTAATTGCTTTGAATTGTAAAAATATTTTAAAGTAATATTAATATTACAAGTATATTTTCGAGAAGGGAGCTCAGTTTTGTTTGTAAACATTTTAATGTCTCATAATCTCAAAATTTAGAGCAAAATCAAACATTTCAATTCTGAGGCAGTTTTCCTCTTTACTCAGTTCTCAAACAAAATTCTTTATGATTTCAGAGTAAATAAAAAAAATTCAATTAGGGATGTTAATTACTAAATATAATTAGCAAATATGCACTTCAGATGATGATTAAAATCTTTGATGAAATAATTTATTCTTCAGTGATATTGCTGTTACTTAATGTGTTAATATATATATATATATATGCATATTAGAAAATATGTATGAAATCTTAATTTTTGATATGACAAAGGACACACCTCCTTTGTGGATGACTTTCTAATGGAAACTGGCTCTTATTCGTGCATTCTACATTGTTCAGCAATCTTAATGATGCCACCACTGGTTAGCATCTATAGAATGAAATATGTTCTTTAATTTTTTTAATCTAATTTATTTTATTTAGTTTGGAGCATAGTGAAGATTTCTACAGAAAATGAGCGAAATAAAACATATAATCGTTATTACACGTTGTAAAAGGTAGCAATAGCCATGCAGCAAATATTATATGCAATGAAAACAGTAATATTAAAACAAAATTACTTATGAAGAGAAGCTAAATATTTTTATCTATTAAAAAAATTAACTTGTAATTGTAAGCTTGTTTTTGAGATGTTAAACTGTTATCTGAAGTTTCAAATTAAATTTTTTCCCATTGTTCAAAGTTTAAAATTTTATCTAAATTGTTATGTATTTTCAAAAAGTAAAAGTTATGCATATTAGCGATAAATCAGAAGCAGTACACTGCAGAATAAGATCAATAACTCATTTCCCACAATGCCTTTCTTTTATATATTTATAGTTAGAAACTGAGTATTGGAAAAAAAAAAAAAAAAGCTGAATAAATAAAATATCCATTATTCTTTATCCCTTTATGTCTTTTTTGAATTTGAGGCTAAGATGATAAGAGTTGCGTCTGCCTCTCGTTTTCCTCCCCTTAATTAAAAAAATGTATAAAAAGTTCAGCATTTAAATATGGTAAGTTATTGTATATGTTGGACACCCTTATATTTTATGATTATTTGCCATGCATATTTTACATATGAAAAGCAGATTTTACACCAGAAACGTTAAATTGAAATCTGTTAAGCTCTGAAAAATTTACTACATATTATACATTAGTTGTATACTTAACTATTCAACCACAGCTATGAAATTGTCATTTTTCCATTGATGCAAAAAATTTCAAAATTAACTAAAATTACTTTAAAAAAAAGTAACTACATTTGTCTCTTACTCAAGCAGCTTAATTTTATTTGCATAATAAATGATTATTTACATTCTGTGTAAAAATTGAATCTGATATGTGTGTTTTCTCTATTTCCAATTTTAAAGCATTCCATAAGTTACATCTTTGGCAGTAAAAATTATGGATGATATTCTTGTGCCAAGTTGTATATTTTAGACCATAAATATTTGATAAGTTATCTTGTAGTAAGATATGTCAGAGTGTTTTTCTTTTGTTGCTATTCATTTATATGCGAAGCATGTAAAAATTTAGTTTGTTTTAGTATGTTTGCACCACTATGTAATAAACGAAAGTTTACAATTGTTTAACTTTCATTACATTTACTGCATCTTCTCAAAAAAAGGTTGTACTAAATGTTTATGAGCAGCTGTTTTGGAATTTTTAAAGGAATTTCTTGCAATAATTATTGCAGTGCATATATATTCTTCCACCTAGCATTCAAGTTTTACATGTTTATGTGTCAACTAAAGTGAAATTTATTTCAACATTCGCTTACCTAGAATATTTCTTAATGTCCTTTCATCCAAGCATCCTGACCTATCATAGCTTGATTGTGCCTCATAAATTATGTCATGTTTTTATTTGTAAAGCATTCCTTTATTCCTGTAGTGTGAAATCCGTCCATTTTAGGCTTGATCATTTTTTACTGTAACTGCCTTTATTCGTATAAACATTTTATTATAAAATGTGATTTTTTGTAAATGTTTGCAATTTGTATGACATTTCCAAAAAAATTTACTCCATTTTTGTAATTACATTTGTGGAAACTTATTTATATTTGTAAAATTGTAATTTTTTAACAAAGGCTTTTGCGTCTAAGTCATAATCTGTGTGTCCGTCATAGATCTGAAACTGATTAGAAGTGTTTAATACTTAAAGTCGAGAGATTTGTAGAGGATGACAGCAGTGTAAAGTAAATGAGTGTATGATTGTATAGATAATTTGTGTTTTGTACTACATGTTTCCCATAATTCTTTTTTCCCTTAGTAATGAACTCTTTTATAAAAATATTTAAAGTTTTATAGAAGCTATATTGTAAACCAGGAAAATGACTTATTTAATATGTAACAATAAAAAATTTTTTGTCTAATAGAGTATTACAATTTTCCATTTCTTCAAACAAAAAAAAAAAAAAAAAAAAGAATTGTGAGTGATTTGAGGAAAACGTCGAGGTTAATTTGCTTTTACACTTTCAATTTTCAGTTTGATTAATAATTAAATTTGTAGAGACATTAGGTTATTTCAAAGCTGGAGAGATGAAAAATGTGTAGTGCCCTTGCCAGGACTCGAACCTCTCAAATATGCGTGCCGAGTGTGGTGGCCATTAAACCACGAATGCATGCTAATAAGGCAGGAGAAATACCTTATATACTCCCCCTTTTAAAGGGTGATTATAGATTAGGGGGCCCAATTGACCTCTCGAATACACACCGATCATGCCGACCATTACAATACGAAGACATTTTGAAATTTGGTTTAAAAATGCTAATTTAGCAATCATGGTGAAATGTAGACTTCATTTGAAGTTCACATCAAATAATAAGGCGGGAGAAATACCTTATAAACTTATGTCCGGTTCTTATTTGTATTTAAACCAGATAGAACAAATTAAGGTGGTCTAATAAAATATGATAGAAACTTGACAATCTGAAATTTAAGTTATGGAAAATTTAGCTTAATTTGATGTGAACTTCAAATGAAGTCTACATTTCACCATGATTGCTAAATTAGCATTTTTATACCAAATTTCAAAATCTGGTTCTGGTGTGATTAGCACCCAAAAAAAAATCCATTTCATTTTTTGCCATTTTAAAAGCATGTGAAAATCTCATGTATTTTTTGTGTGTTTTGGGGGGAAATTTTTTTCTTGCATGGAAATATTTTTTCCGTCTGCAATTTCTTTTAAAGTAAACATGCAGAATATTATACATAAAAATAAACATAATATGTGCTAATCCACTGTGTATGTTATCAATAAGGCTTTTAGTCAATAACCAGGTACCAACTATTAACTTTTTGTGGCATCAAAAAATATACATGGATTTATACAAGCTTAATTTTTTGTACAATTTGAGGAACAAACATATACATTAAGAATACATTCTATAGTAAAACTTATTATTAAATTTGATAATAAAAAGTAGCATTTTTTAATATACCGCATCTCTATAAAAGACCAATTTTTCTTAGCTTATTCTCTACAAAGGCCAATATGAAGAAAACCTCACCTCACCAACCCACTCCGCAATCAGAAAAATAATCCTAAGCATACAAGCATATGATTCCAGTCATCTACCCACTGGTTAGGTGAGGTATATTTTGAATTTAACAAATTATGCATTACATTATTGGTCCATGGCAATTTTGCTATACCCTTACGAATCAACTGCACATTATTTATGCAGTTTAAGGTAATTCGCGCACCTTGTGCAAATACATATACTGCACTATCAGTAGAGAAAATCCTATTGCATTTCATTATGATATTTTTTCAAATATTTGGATAGCCAAGTTGATATTTTAGGAATAAACTTTTTTAATTGTAATAAAAATGAAATATCAAACCAAACAGTATCATAATTGTACAATTAAAACTAGGTAATAAATATTTTGGGGGAGGGTACAGTTTTGCATAACGTCTAAGCTAAACATCATTTGAAAATAAACAAAATATGGATATGAATTAAATTACATAGTATGTCTTTTTGTATATTTAGAAGATGCAAAATCAGTCTTACTTGAATTCAAGGACTGTGAGAATATTTGTTGAGAAATAATAAATTTGTAGATTTTCTTTGATGCAGAGAGCATTAAAATATGATTCTAAAAACTACTGAATCAGCCATTAGCAAACTCATTTTATTTGTTATTTTAAAGCATTAGAAATTACTCCCATAATGTATATCTTTTCAATAGTATTTCTTTCATGGTTAAAAAACAAAAAATATGAAATTAGTGTTTTAAATACTGAATAATTCCAATGTTTTATTGTACACAAAAATTCTTATATAATGAATCCTATGATGACTACCTCTGATTTCAGCTAATTTTTATCCTCTGTGGAGGTAATAATTTTAGAGAGGTAATGTTTAATACAGTCAAAAGTCATTAATCCGGACTCGTCGGGACTTCGGCGATTCCAGATTATCGATTTTTCTGGATTATAGATCATCAGTTTAAATCTGGTAAGATGGCATGCGGAAATTATAAAATTAAAAATATGAAACCGTAATTTATGAAATAAACAGCAATTATGATCTAAAGGGTATCAAAATTTACAAAAAGAAAAAAGCTAAATATTTATTTTGTTTACTTTATTAAACATTTCTTTCAATGTAAGTTGTTTAATTTGCTTCGTTTCATGTGATAACTTTCTCTTTCTCTTTAATTGTATTAAACAGACATAATTTCTTGTTTACTTACAAAGTTCCGCTGTTCAAGTCCTATAATTGCTGTGTCGAGAATATCGGCTAATTTGTCAATCGAAATTTTTTCGTTTTCAATAAGCTCCGAGTCACTTTCTTCACTATCGGAAGCGAATTTAATGAGAGGAAACTTGATTTAAATCATATCAAAGACTGAGTACATCGAGATGAAATACTACATTTAGTAAGAATTATAAGCCAAAATAAAAATAAAATAAAAAAAAACATCTATCTGCTCTGAAAATAAGGATAATGCTGACAGATCAACTTCCAATTCATTGCGCGCCGTGTGGTTTCCCTCCCCCCGCAGAGCAGCGTGAAATTGATAAACATATTTCGGAATGATTAGATAATCAAAGGATATTGCCTTTATCCATTTTTTGCAGCAATTCCTTTTTTTGTTTCATGGACATCGAAACATACTTTCGCTTTGTAGATCCTTTGGGAGCTCCAGCATCGGAAAATGTATTTGACATGATCCAATGTTCAAGCTTACTTTTATAAAATTGCTCTAAAAGTCTGCAAAAAATAATAAGCCGGATCAATTCGAAGATTAAGGAACAACGCAATCTGCAACATTAACTGAAATAAATAATTAGATAGTTTTAGCTTATACCATCCGTTTTACATTAAACGTGCATGCGTAAATGTATTATGCACATGCGCACATGTATATTCGCAGCCGTAAATGTCTTACGCTCACGTGTAAACGCCTATGCGCATGCGCAGAAAGTTTTCAGCCTTGAGGTCCGGATTATAGATCATTCCGGATTATGGGTGTCCGAATTAACAACTTTTGACTGTATAGTGTTTATTTATATTCTAAGATATACTGGTCACATTCAAAGATGGTCATTACAAGAGGTTTCACAGTATTTATAACTTAAAATCCGTTTTCTAAACAGAAGGCAAGAAATGCTCTTTTGCTCTAAATATTGACATGAAAAGTGAATGAAATATTTCTAAAGTATAGTGTAGTAAGGAAAAAGTACTACATACATCCGATAAATATTTCCGATTTCATTTTCTAGAGTATTTAATAGGTAGTAGATTTAAAAATCATTTTGGGATTTAAAGTACATGAGTATAACAGTATATTAATTTCATAGAAACTGATTTTATGTTAAAAGATTACTCTAATTTTTCACAAGATATTGCTGCCAGAGTTGACTTCATTATAAATTAATCTTTCTGCAGTGCAAATTATAAATATATTTGATATTTTTTCAGATTTTTTATGAATGATTCATAAAATATCTGAAATCAAATCATCTGAAAGTTTATGCTGATAACTTACTTAAATTGGGTTGTTTTCTTTATAGATTTGCTATCATTAATTTTTTACATTGTAAATTTCTCTTTTCTATTTGTAATTACGTAGAAAACTTAAAAGTCATTTCTTATATTTACATTTTGTATAAATGTTTAGGAAATAAACCTGGAGATAATAATTAAAATCAAAACTTTTATACAGGCAATAGAACTTTTACCCCATTTAAATGAATAACAAACAAAGCAGTTAACTATTTAAAAGTATTTATTAAGCATAATAAATAATAAAGGAATGTCAGTCTGCAGATAATTCATTCATAAAATGAATTTCTCCATCAAATATGAGCATTTGTAGACAATTCAAAATATTTTAGTATTGCAAGCACTTTTTTAAGATACTGTACACTCAGACTTGCACTCTTCTAATTCTAAATATAAAGTTTTACATTCATTTGCAATTATTCATAATAAATTACTGGCATTTAATCAGTGCAAATGAATTAAAATTCAGTCTCTCAAAATTGACTTATAATAAAGATATATAAAAACTATGATGTGTTAGTAAAAATGAAGTGAGTATGTTATTAAATACTTTCTATTTAACAACTCACAGTTACCTAAATATATTTTTAAAATGTTAGAAACACAAGCACAGATACTACAATACAATCAGATACCTCATTTTTCTTTCTAATGATGAAATAATATTAAATTTGTACATAAAAGAATAAAAATAAATTGTTTTAATGAAAGGAAAAGGTATTTTTAACAATTAAAAAAAATTTCTTAAATTAAAATTATTATCAGATTTCTAATTACCTTATTTAAATATAATAAATCCTTTTTATTACCATATTACTTCAAATTTTAATTGCAGGTAAGATTTAAAAAACTGGAAAAAATAATAAAAAATAGCTTTAAATGTAAGCCCCATCCTTTTTAAGTTTTGAAAATTTAATATAGTAATATTTCATGACAATTTGACATGGTTCATTCCTAAATTAGACTTTAAAAGCAAATGTATAATAATTTATCATCACTATAAAATATTAATGGTGACCAGAAGAAATTTTTAGAATTAGAACAAAATTTGTTTGGCATACACATTATGCATTTTCATTAGAATGAAACTGAAGCTTGAAAAAACAAATGCAAAAATTTTTTTTAATATTTTACATTCGTTAAAATTAGATGCTATTATTTTCTGAATAGCCTGTTTTAGAGATGATCTTAAGGTATATAATCTTGATCTCTTGACCTCATAATTCTTAAATTAGTTGGTTATTTGTAACCATTTAATTTTAAAATATTTCAGACATTAAAGAATATGAAGATTAGATTGTAGTTTTTAAATTTTTTAATATTTAAAATTTTTTAAAATTATGTTAATATTTTTTAACTTAGAGTACTCAAAAAGTACTCTTTGAGGAGTGTATTTTGGATTACAGCCAATTTTTTTAAAGATCTTTTCTTCAGTATTAAAAATATGTGTTTACATTCTTGAAATCAATTATTAATATAATAATTCTTAATTAAAATGTGTGTTTACAATCTTGAAGCATTTCAGAACTATGCACATTCAGTCTGCCATTTTATTTAATATGACATTAGGCTTTTGAAACACTCACTAATTGATTTTTGATTTATTCAAGACACCAAGAATATAACTACAAGTTTTATATATTGCAAAATAAGATCTGCATAATTCTTAGACTTGCTGCCATTTTGGAAAACACTATCTTAAATATTGCAAGCTACCATGGAATAAAAAAGTCCTTTTCTATTCGTAAAAGAAATCTGCTTTTTCCTCTGTTTGATAGGTAATTAATCTGATTTTAATACCTATTAAACAGAGGTAATTAATCTGTTTAATAGGTAATTAATCTGGTAGATTAATAGTTTTATTTTACACACAGTAATAAGCTTCAGTTTTATTTCCCAGTCCTTGTATAATAACAAAGTTATGATTAAAGATGGATAATGTATATCAAATTTTATCACTACACTTCCTTACATTTTTACCACATTGTGAAAATGTAAACATCAATGAGATTAAAATTGAAAAGAAGATTCATACAATTTGAAATGGGCATATTTTATGGATGGAAAAATTTTTTCCTAAATTGCACTGAAATGGGCCTCTGAATGTGATTGCATGTAGACTAGAATACATAAGGACATGTAGGCAAGACTGACCAAGGCCCTTAAAATTATCTTTCAGTTCTCCTAATCCTGTATTTCTCCCATTAATACAGCCAAAGTGAACTTTGCAGAACCATGCCTAGGGGCTACAGGCTGATTTTTATTAATATAGTTTGGAAAGGATGCACAAGCAGCAACAAAAAGAAAGGAGTTGCATGTATAGTAACAACAAATGGGAAAATCAGAATGATAACTCATTTGAAAAAAAAAAAAAAAAAAAAAAAAAAAAAAATTTATGGACTATTTTAGTAGAATGTTTTAACATGCAAAAGCTGATTTTTTAGTTAAATTACCATCTTTAATTATACATTACCATCTTTAATCAAAACAGGTCTTTTACAGATTTCACAGATGTCTTTTACAGATTTATTCTAACAATAAATTTATACAGTTTGTTTCCGAACATATTTTTAATGCATGAGATAAATTATAAAACAACAGCTCAGTAAATTAAACCCAGGTACTAGTGGCTTTTGCTGCTGGTGTGGAAGACCTTGATAATGAGTCAGAATTCTTAAATATTTGAGTTCTATTTGACTGAGAGTTAGCTACAAGGCACTTGTTTTCTTCGTACGATTCCAATTCTTCTAAGCAGTCCTCCATTATTGGTGGATATGCAGAATCATAACGGGATAGGTAAGGAGACCTAGTCCTCATATTCCTCTTCATAGGAACAGTGCCATGACCAGGTGAATAGTTTATGTTTGAACTGAAGTGAGGAACGGTAGACTTCAATGATGAGGAAGGCACAGGTAATTTTGAGCCACCACTGCGGAAATTAGGCGAACTTTTGGACGGGGACACCTTTAACAACTCTGCAGCAGATGGCCGCGGGTTGGTTTCCTGACTGCCTGTTCTGGCTTGAAGAAGGAGCATTTTAAAGTCATGCATACTAGTGGGTTTTGTTGGTCCAAGTTTTTCAACTGGCATCCATTTCTTCCCTGGAGTAGATGGCATGCTATTGCACCATTTAGTCCTATCTGAGGGACTGGGACAGTTCTCATTGCGTTTAAATAATACTCCTGTTTCTACTGGCTGTAGTTTTGACACAGAACTTTGACTGAGTGCTGGGGAGACAGACCTTGAAGATAAAGGTGATAGAGATATGTCCGATTCAGTCTTAATGTTATGTTTCTTTTTTGAATTGTGTATTATTGCAAAAAGTTCATTGGCAGACATGGATTTTAAATTTTTTTGTTCAGTTCCAAGTAGAATTGATTGAGTTGAAGGTTTCCTGACATTATGACTATCTTGTGATCTTAAATGAGGAAACATTTTCTGCGTGTTAGCTGGTAATGTAATGTCCAATGTAGAGGGAGGTGATTCACTAGAAGGTATGACATCTGGAGGGCTTAAAGATACAAATGTTGAAGTACTGCCACTATTTTTAGGATAACTAAATGTTGATGACTGTGTTGATGGCGGTCTGATTTTTGACGTTGAAAAACTATGCTGATTTGATGGTGAATGAATCCTTCCTGGCCATATTTCTGTGTTGGCTGAACCACGATTTGGAGTTGAAAATGAATCGTTCTGGCATTTTGGCACTGGGTTGGGTGAAATGGCAGTACTAGAGGACAATTCTTTCTGAACAACAAAATTTTGTGAATTTGCATTAAACTGATTCTGGCCAGCAGAATGTAAAGAATCTCTTGAAGGGCTGTTAAGAGAATCTACAGAACTAATATTTGTGAAAGTATTTTGATTGATTCCTTGTGTCTGTGGAGTTGGTGATGAAATGAGATGAGATGGAAAATATGACCTACAAAACCGACCTCCTCTAGATGGTCGGAAATTGAAATCTCGATTGGAAGCACCATATTTAAATGAAGAAAAAGACTGAGTAGGATTACCTTGCTGAAGCACTGGTGAAATGTGCCTAGAAGAGTTAGCATCAGTTCTTTCTTGTGTTGATACTCTACTAGGATTTGTTCTATTAAAATTCACTGCATCTGCTTTGGAAATACTGTATTTATTCATTTCTTCCGTTGGTGGTTTACTTCCTGCATTATGCGCTTGATACATTGGTAATGTAGCATAAGCTCTTTGTTCATGATTATTTTTGTTTGCATTTGAATTACCTGCTCGTTCTAGTGAATTAGATGAGTACACAACATTTCCTGTCGGATCTAAAGTTACCCTGGCGACAGGTCTTGATAAGGAACTTGTTGGACTCGATATCAATTTTGGTGCAATCCTTGAATTTACTGAACTGGGTGTCACCTTGGGTATACTCCTTGTCAATGAACTTGATGGACTTGATGCTGCCTCGGGAGCATTTCTTGTCAAAGAGCTAGTTGGGCTTGATGCAACCCTGGGAACATTTCTTGTCAGAGAGCTTGTTGGGCTTGATGCAACCCTGGGAACATTTCTTGCCAAAGAGCTTGTTGGGCTTGATGTAACTCTAGGAATATTTCTTGGCAAGGAGCTTGTTGGGCTTGATGCAACTCTAGCTCCAGGTCTTGGCAATGAACTTGCAGGATTTGATGTTACTCGGGATAGAGAATTTGTTGGACTTGATGCATTGCCTTCCGTGTTTGTTACTCTAATGAAATTAGTGACTGATGATACTGGTGAATCAGGTGACTGAAAGGAAATGTATGTTGGAGATGTATCATTTTTACTAGACACTGATGTAGACTTTTCTGTTTTTGGAGTACCTGATATACCCAAAGTGGAAGCGACAGATTGTTTTAGAGGTGTCCGCTTAATTGTCCCAGTACAGCTATTTGATGAATCACTTCTTGCTATGGGAGTAACTGTAATCCGCTGGGCATATTTCAAAGGAATAAGGCATTTATCATCAGCATTTGGAACTAACGATGGATTTTCTGTGACAATGATATCACTACTGAAGTCAGAGCGAAAATCACTGTGCAGGTTTTTATTGCTGTTTTCTGATTTTGTATTTGCAAGACCTGTGTCACTAACATCAGGCGAAAATGTTGAAATATGTATATCTGACCTAGGTGTGGATGTACAAACAGGATGAGATTGAGAAACCGTGTTCAGGAAATGTGAAGGTACAGGAGTTTCACTTCTGTACATATTAATAGAAGGTGAAAGATTAAAAGAATTTAAATGACTTGAATGAGAGGTACTACTAGGAACATTTTGATTATGAGTCTTATTTTCTTTGTCAGTCTTATTTTCTGTTACTGTCCTTACCTCGTTATTTGCACAAACATCATCAGTAATCTTTTCTTCATTATGAACTTCTGCAACAGTTATATTGATATTAGAAGTTAAAGTTCTGTTTTTCAAATCTGCAATCTCGTCGTCACTTGTCTCTGGTGAGACAGCGCACATGGATGGGTACCGGTGGGGTGTTATGGCAGTCTTTTCCCTTATTCTATCCCTTACCTCATGCTCCGACTCAGATGTTGAGCCATTCTGAGGATGTGGTGAATAAGACTTATCACTATCTTCCAAATCTTGTTCTTTTACTAAAACTTCTATCTTATCAGTCTCCAGCGGTTTACAACTCGAGACACGTGGTGGCGGCTGTGGGCAGACTTGCCGCTTAAGACTGCCACTATTTGATGAACATTCAGTAGCTGATTTTGACAGAAAACTGTTAATGCTGCTGTTTCCAATAGTACTCACAGAACTCTGAGATTCTTGTCGTTGTCTATAACCCACCGTCTCAGCAATAACGTCTTCAGATTTCAAATTTGGCATTGCACTGCACCACAGTCCACTGTCAGTGTGCATGGATGTATAATAACCATCTGTGTCAACTGAATACACAGAGGAATCTCCATCATCGCTAACACCTCGACGACCAGCATACGGAGATCGAACAATAGGAGTGCTCGAGGAACAGTGCGATGTCAAGTCGGGCGTTGGTGTGTTGGATGTGCTTCCATTGCTTGGTTCCCATGGAAGATTAACAGTGGCATATTTCTTCCGTTTTATCGGAGAACTGGTCAGTGAGTGTATCAGAATTTCATCATCTCTGGATCTAAAAATATAACACCAAAATTAGAGCATGTAATTTAAAAAGTAAAGTTAAAAAAGAGAAAAGATTGGAAAGGGAAAATATTGAAAATAATGGTGTCTTTGTTAATAAGTCAAAGATCAGACCTACTAATAAAACCAGTCATTATGATGACTACAGTACACAGCACTTCCTGTAGGTGCTGCTTACGTAGCTGCTTATAAGTTACAAATTTCAAGATTAAAAAAGAGCAGCATTTAGATTGGATGAGATGTTTTATTCTGTTACTAGAAGAACAGTGCAGCCAGTGTTAACATCCACAAACAATTGGTAACATCTTTTGCGACTTGAAATTTCTGAATGATTGGCTATAGTTTCACAAACGTAATTTTCAAAGGACAGTGATCGTATCTGTAATTTCTAATAAAATAATTTATTTCAAAACAAAGTATGAATTTTCATTTAATTAGAACACAGATGTCTGTCAAAATATTTTTACTAGCCATTTTAAAGGAACTTGAACTTCTGACATTGCAATCCTAGGTACATCTGACAATGTCACATCAATCTATTTACTTCTAAATTCACCCTCCCTCAACACAAAACAATAAAACGCTTGAACACTAGATATAAACCATATGTCAGGAATGGCTGGTGCATTCTTTTGACCAAATTTTAAGTAATAATAAGAATGCCCATGATAACAACAGTTGGGCGTTACTTGGACTATGAAAAGAACTTTATATACGCTTTTAATGTCTCTCCAAGAGAATTCTATACTGCATATGTTACTTGTGATGAACAGTTTGGGGTACTTGGATCACGAAGAGGGCTTTTCATAAGCTTATAAGGTCTCGTTTTAAGTTCTTTCACCAGTTATGTTATGTTAAAATATCTTTCTTTTCTCCCTCACATCCATTTTCCTGACAGAATGTAAATTTTTAGCTGGAGTGATATTCAAGTCAGGTAGAAAGAAAAGGGCATTTAAAGGAAGCTTTTAAACAGTAGAATTAGAGCGTGTTCTGCCTGTTGAAGGTTCCTTGTAAGTAGTATTCTGCGGTGTTCCGTTATTCTCTCCATCAGGCTTGTTACACTGACCTTAGGTCACAGCCAGTTTTGTGCGTTACTCTAACTGTGTAGCCGTTAGGCTAACTTGGTTTTCCTAGTTTTAGTTAATCCATTATTCTTTAGATCTTTTCCAGGGGGCTGGGACAGATTTATTACTTTAAATGGGCCTCAAGAAATTTCGGTAAATTATGGAGATTTAAATTTTACTCTTTAATATGGAATAGAAAGTCAAGACCCCGTTGATTTGTTTTTCTGCTCATTCCTGTAAAAATAGCTGACTAAATGACCCTAATGCATTAAAATCTGGTCCCTATAGCCCACAGGAAAAAAATTTAAGCCATAATTGCTGGCTTTTGTAAGCAATGGCGGTGCCGTCTGTTAACTTTGAGTCATATAAAAGGGTCCTTTACACCCCTTCCCTATCTCAGTGGTACTTACAGACATAACGATAATCCACTTTTTAGAGTTCTCGTATATTTGATGCTACCAAAGAATATGAGCCTCTATAAACTAATCACACTGACCTAGTCATAATCTAACCTTTCTAATCAAAATCTATATTACACATGTATTTGTGATAATAAATATAATTCTAATAGTGATAGCTGGCATTATTTGGATTGCACACACATAAAAAAATAAATAAATAAAATAAAAAATAAATTACTATAGTTCGACCACCCCATCCGCGACCATGAGTGCAAACACGCATGCGCCACTCGGACCGAATTATTCTCAAAATAGGGTGGAAGGATGGAGACTTTCTTTCCGTCCAGCATATCTCTTTCTGCAGAAGGGGCCCACCAGCGGCCGAGTGGTAAAGTCGCTGAACACTGGTAGTTCGGTTCAAGGTTCTATTCTGCGAACGGGCTGGCTGCATGGGCGTTTTCGTGGTTTGCCCCATGTGTAACGTGTATACGAGTCAGTTTCCTCTAGAAAGTCCTCCACAAAGGTATCCCTCCTCTTAGGCAGATAGCCCTCGAGGCTTTGGCATCACACACACACTTTCTTCAGAAGAGAAGACTTTCATGTCGCAGCAAGTAATATAACGCCCCTTTTGGGCAAGTCTATGTGTTTTGGCAGAATGCTAGCGAGGGTTGCATTTGAGATGGTCAAACTATATCCGTTTCTAATAATCTTCATAGGATACTTCTGTATTAAATACACACTTGTGATAGTAAGGATAATCGTACAAATAATAACAAATTGCTATTACTTGGACTGTCAAGTGTTAAATCGTTAATAATTTTCCCCAGGGCACTCAAGATCATTTGTAAAGATTTGGGCCAATAAAAACAAACTCTGTTTTAAAGCAAGAGCAGCAAAATGAATGAAAACACTAGTAAATGAAAAATTAATTAAAATATGTACCCATTCTTAAATAATCTCTTCTAAGCAAAAAAGAAAGAACAGAAAATTATTATAGGAAAGTGAGTTAGGTGATTACAAAAGAAAAATTCTGATCTATTAAATGGGAATGTGAGGGAACTGATATCTTAATTAAATTAAATAATTATTATTTTGATCATTTAATTAATCTCAATAAAATAATGAAAATAATTCACATTCTTCGAGCAACAGAAAAATCTGGCATGTCAAAGAGAGAAAAAAAGCAAATCAGATTCAACAACAGAGAGTAAGAAAACGTAAGCTTTTTTTTTCCCCATGATTCAAAACGGGATTTGGAAAGTGATACAGACATTCAAAGTCATTCGAAGCAAAATACAGTTAGATATTGAAACGTCTTTACGTTGCTATGCTACCAACATCAGTCAGAAATGTAAAGAAACCTCGAGCATAAAATATCCCTGTTGAAGATTCACACGATGTTAGTGCTAAAGGAACGCTTTGAAATCGTTGAGTTTGTTAATCAAAAATTCGTTAAAGGATTTCAAAATATTCCAAATTTGATCTTTCAAATGTCCATATTCGAGAGGAGGACTACGTTATTCAGAATTCAATGTGTCTAGCTTCCGTCGTTTTTCCACATTGCGAGAAACATACATATAATCCTGCAAGCTCTTCATTATTTAATTTGTTTAAATATAATGCAGTGCACTAATATTTGGTGGCAACAGTTTGAAAAGTGATTGATACTTTTATAATGAACTAACGCAAAATGCCAAAACGAAAGTGAACATATAGTCTGCACTTGCTTTTTATAGCGAAATGTAAGGCTATAAATTTAAAGTGGTGAGTAGTGGTACGATTGTCACTGTTCTTGCTTTGCTTTAGTGTGTTTATTTCTTTTTACGAATTATGCTTAAAAATTACCTGAAAGTCCATGACTGCCTATTACTGAAATAAAAATAACTGATACCAAAGTTAGGTACCACTATCATAAGTTTTATAGCCAACTCAAAATTTCATTATTTGTATTCATTATCCATCTCACAGAACACATATCTTTTTCTAATTTCCTATTAGTCCGATGCCAACGAACGCGTGCTGCATGTGACTATTGGCCATATGTAGATTAGGTTTTATCTCTCTTCTTTAACATTGTATTTGTTGAATTCATAGAAAAATAAAGTATAAATGGAAAACATTGACCAACCTGTTGTGTGGGTCCAGTTGCGTAGCATCTGATAGCACAGAATCCTTCCCGATGGAGTTCCTCGAGGGACTACTCACACCATCCACAGGCGAGGCAGCATGGTGATGGTCCGAATCCACAGAAGCTCGCGTGCTACTACTTGCGCTCCAGTTACCACTGGACGATCTGCCATCGTCTTGCTTATTGGCACCTCCACTTCGTGTCGAGTTACGCATCTTGACTGCTGCTATGGAGATAGCGGCAGAAAGACTGGATATGGGATTGAAAGCTCTAGATCTCAGGGAAGAGCTCGTTTTCGACTTCTTCATGCTTCCTATGCTTCCCTGAAATAAATAAATTAATCATGTAATATTTTATAACAGTTGCCATATCCGTACTCATGAGCTGATTATGAAACTCGTGGGTTAAAAGTAAAAGTATAAGGAACTGCAACTCTGTAGACTTGAAAAGCATTTTAATGCCCGTCATACCAGCGTCTTAATTCCATTCATGCACGTTCACTCCAGCAACGTACGAGAGAGAATATGCGAATCCATTACAAATCATTAGGAAAGATACACAAGTGTGACTGGCTCGACTGATTTAGCTACACGATATTTAATGTTTAAAAATCGTGTATTCTCTTGATTTTACACTATGCGGTGGTGCAGAAGCATTTAGCCAGTGTGGCTTTCACTTGTCTTCGGAATCATATCGCCAAATGGGGGATTTTGTGCCAAATCTGGAAACTCTGCTTTTCCTTGTCACTTCCTGGCAACCCTAAACCCGCGTTGAGGGGAAGCTATCCTACAGCAGCTGGGCTTCGGAATCATATCGCCAAATGGGGGATTTTGTGCCAAATCTGGAAACTCTGCCTTTCCTTGTCACTTCCTGGCAACTCTAAACCCGCTTTGAGGGAAAGCTATCCTACAGCAGCTGGGCATTTTGCAACACTGCCTCCTCCCAAGGACTGCACGCCATTGGCAGTAGAATCCTTGATCAAAGCTAAAAGCGATAAATTTGGCGACATGCTATAGACGGAGCGAGAACATCCTAGAACGAATTTTGACCGTTTTACCCTAGAATGTTCTCGGAGACAGGTCAAAATCTATAAAGATCTGCCTGTACAAAAAGAAGCAGTTTTATCGTGAGGAGTACCTTGAGTGTGTTGAGTTCAGAGATTAGCTTGAGAGGCATCGACCGAGTCGGGAGCTGTACTTCAGTGCTTTGCCGTGAAGCTGTCTTCACTGTTATAGACTGATAGCCTGAAGGCTGTGTTGCTGATTGTTTCAGCGTGTTTATCGTAGTTTTTCGACAACTGTAGGAACTGTTCTGTGTAATATTGGCGAATAAATTGTGTTTTGGTTCTTCATAAAGTGTTACCGTCAGTCGCTCTAAATCTACAAACCAGCAGAATGCAACAACTGGTATTAGAAGTGGGATAGAGAATAGCCGGTGCCCTCGAGGACGGCACTACGGTAAGCAAGCAGGAACAGGGGCAGCTAGCGATACCATTCTTCTTGATTCTTCGAAATCAAGAAAACGCAGACGTCCCCGTTACATCCGCAGTTTGATGGCCTGATGGAGAGGTTTAACCGCACAATCCTGAACCACCTCTCGCTTATGGTTAGCAACTATGCTTGTTGCCATCTATAGTCTGTCTCTTTCAAGCGCTCTATGCATGCATAAAATCTTCCCCCTCCCAATGATTAACTTTTACTTTTGCTCTAACATCGCTTCTGTTTCATCATGCCATTCGCTCAATCCAGAATTATGTAAATGAGCAGCTAAATATAATAAAGTTACGCAGGTAGATAAATAGTTTCCTCCGCTTAGACGAGAACATAGTGGCTGCTTGAGTCCACCGACGGAAATAATTGAAACTAGATTATATGCATTGCCCTACAGAAGAAATGTATCAATTTGTAGGGTACATAGTTCAATTTTAGTTAACCCTTTCGCTACCACCGGCACATACATGTCCCGAGGGCAATGTCAAATGATTCTATGGATTAAATATGCGTTGTATTAATACGAATGCATGTCCGAATGGCATTTCTTCATGACACTGACAATTCAGTATAATTTCCTCCCGATAGATAGCTGCAGAGTCCTTTCCCAATAAATTTTTGCCGGGCAATCCGCCAAAGTACGGTATTTTTTCCTCTCTGGCAGGCATTTAGTCCATTTAGTATCGCAGAGAGAAATTTCGTGCACTTGTAATCCTCAATTATTATCAAAATAAGGAGTTTAGTCTGGGAGGGGGGTGGACCTAATTTCTATAGCTTCCGCCCTACTGGACCGTTTGACGAAATTTAACTTGCGTTTTTCATGTCTTGAAAGCGCGACTTAAGATATATATCATATTTATACATAGCATTTTTCTAAGATCAGTATTCTGACACAAAATTGGTCCTTTTCTGAAATGGCATACCGAACGTTTTTCAATATTTCGAGTGCATGACTCAAATTATGCCCAAACATGAAATTGTGCAAAATTTGGGCAGAAATTTACCTTTAAATTTAAAAAGTTATCTTGGAGTACTTTTTTTTTTCAGTTTGCGCCAAGATTAATTAACTTGGCAAAATTATTCATCTATACTATAAAGGAAGAAATAAAAAATAGATTCTAGTATATTCCTTTCCCTTTTTTTCACTGTGCACGAGCGGAAAAAAAGTGCATCTTCCATACTTTCAAATAATTTTAACAAATGCGTAAAGCACAGTTGGCATTATTATGGCTTATAAAAAATATGCCAAATTTCAAATCGTGCCAATATGAGTAATAATATATTTAATTCAATAAATGACAATATAATTAATTCACGTATATCTTTGGAAATTTTAAATAAAAAATCCTAATTTTTTGTAGATATGCCTAGAAATACATCTACTGTAAGAAGATGGTAAAAATTAGGTTATAATTAAAATTGTGTCGAATTTTTTTTTTAAATACAAATAAAAAAATCTGATGTGTACACCACATGACTTCCTTGTACGGAATATTAAATTATACGCATTTTTTCTTGCATTTCCTTTAAACTTATTAGATTGAATTAAATCTACTTCGCGGACAGCGCATAAACAAATGCATTCTTTAAAGTTCACTTTGTTTACCACAGCGACACTCTGGCACTAGGTTTACTTAACATTATTTCGTTCATATTATAACTCAGAATGCACAAAATTTATATCATTTAAAGAATTATCTAATCGTTGCCACATGTTCTATTCAAATACTATAACAAAGCTAGAATGATGTATAAAAGAAATTAAGCAAACAAAACACACAAAAAAAAGTTTTTCACAGACTATTGAGTATTTCTCATTCAATTAATTCCGTTCTCACTTCGTGAGAAGGCAAAAATACATAAAAACTCAAAATATCTATATTAAAAATTACGAAGTAAATCTTAAACACTTATTTCCTCGAAAAAATTCCAGAAAGGATTAAGCATGATTTAATTGGCAAGAATAAACGAAGGCGTTATCTTTGTTGTTGCGAAGCTAAGTTTCTCTAGATTGGCAACAAATCCACTAGTCTGCTGTTTCAAATGTAAACAATCAATGACCGCCATAAAAAAAGGCTTAGCGGCACTTAACCCCTTCGCGCCGACTGTCACGTATACGTGCCAGCAACGAACGCACTTACCTACCGGCCGACACGCAGGCGTGCCAGAGGATTGTTCCATTCTCTACCGACTGTCACGTATTTGTGCCAGTACTTTGGAACGTTTTTCAAACTATAATTTCTGCCACAAGATGGCACTGTATGTCCATATGGTTTCAGATACATGTAAATTAGACCTTCTACTCGAAATGAAAGAAGCATGACTCACATACACGTGTTTTTGATTATATAAACAAACGGGGAAATAAATGTTTCCGAATGGCGTGATTTATGACGTCTCTTTAAATCGCACTTTATTCGCACGTGGTAGTTGTTTACTGTAAGTAGAGAAGTTTTATTTGCTCTAAAGCGTTGGGTATTTCGGTTTGCAGTTCAGTTTTTTAGAAAATAATTAGATCTTGTTAGACGTGAATTCTTTGTTTTTTTTACCGTTGCAATGTCGAAGCATCGAAAATGTTTAACAGAGCATGAAATAGCAGAAATGATGCAAAATATTTCAGATATTGATTCTGAAATTCTGATATTCTGATATTGATTCTGAAAGATTAACTGAAAGACATTTTCCAAAACTTTGTTCAGAAGAGAGACTGATAAGAAAATGAGACGACGATGCTTCGTTTGTTCACATTCCCGGAAAAATCCTCCAAAACGGCAAATGAGTTATTACGAGTGCAAGGAATGTAACGTAGGACTGTGTGTAGATCCCTGTTTTCAAATTTTTCATACGAAAAGAGAATTTTAAGTAATATATTTAGTTTTCAGATGTATAATGTTAAAATTCATAAAATGGTGAGTAATTAAAATAAAATGTGTAAAATATGCATTTAAACAAGAAATAAGGTAAGTAAAGTATATATATATATAAATATTTATAAAGCATAAGCCGTTTAAATATTCTATAGAGCATTATTAAACAATGCGTTGATACTTCGGAAATTTCATGGATTTAGGCTTAGTAGCAAAAAAGCCCCCGGCCCTGGAGAGACGCTCGCGTAAGACACTGCCGGCCTCAGCGGTAAGCGCGCGTTTTCGCTACCCGGCTCGAAGGGGTTAAACAACTTTAAAATTGTTGATAATTCTAAAAATATTGCATACAGATTTACTAAAGGCATAAAAACCTGAACCGGAAGATAAGAACAACATAATTCAATCACTTTTAAAGCAAAAAATGTACAATTTACAAACATATTAGAGTAAAGAAACTGAGATCACTGAGCCGGGTAACATAGTGGATATAAATATATTTATATACGTTTGGTGCGGCCGATTGCAACCAAAATACGAGGTGCACATCTACATGTTATAGCAGTCCTATATACAAAATTTCAACGTTCTGAGGCTACTGGTTTTTGAGTTATGCGAGATACGTACGTACGCACGTACATACGTTCGTACAGACGCCACGAAAAATTCTCTTCAGATATTAGTTGGATTTTTAAGCAGTTTTATAATTTTTTTGGAGGAAAAGAGTGTTTCATTCTGTCCTTACATACAGATATCACGGAAATACATCGTTAAATTGCATTTGAAAGAGGTCAAAATGGGATATTTCCGTTGAAATGTGCTGCCTGAAATCTTTCGCGATTACAATACTTCCTTTTTACTTCGTTACAAGGAAGTAAAAAGCTGCGAATTTTATTTGCCATTAACATGCTGTTACTAGCGATTCCCTAGGACCCAGTTCGCTAGGACCAAATGTTCCAGAACTCTCTTCTGTGATAGGCCATTTCGTTGCTCCTTTTCCCGAAGCACATTCATTCTTTGTCATATTAATTAGTGTCATATCACTTTTCTTCCATTCCCGTTTCGAGCTTTCAACCAATATCAAATATCCTTGCAGCAGAATGATGTCCATTAGCTTTCGTAAATTGAATGACTTTGCATTTGAAACCAGCACTAAGCTTGTTTCGTTTGGCAGAAGCGATATTTACTACTAAAAGGAATACTATATCAACTGTATTACAGCTAAAGCAAATGCGGTTTAAAACCTTCGATGTTCACTTAAAAAATCACAGCTTCAAATGACTAGAAAAAAGGGAAACATCTCACTCTTAATTCCATGAATTCATTCGGGTTGGAAGTACAATCGTGTCCCAAATTAATTCCTCCTTTTCCCGAAACTCTAGAATAAGATTCTTGTGCACATCTGCATTGAATACAACCCATCCTCTCTGTAGAATTATTTACTTATCATGCATTTGCCGAAACACGCTTGCGATATTGGGATCGAATTAATCTCAAAATAGGGTGGAAGGATGGGGACTTTCTTTCTTTCAAGCGTATTCCTTCCGGAGAAGAGGAGACTTTCATGTGACCTTTCAAGTCGCAATAAGTAATAACGCCCCTTTTGGACGAGTCTATGTTTGAGCAGAATGCCAGCCAAGATTGTGTTTGAGACGCTCCAACTATACCATTGTTCGAAAGCTTGCGAAAAATGTGCCGATGAACGACTTCAAACGATAACAGCATCGCACATGTATCTTCCAGGTCTCTTCGTAACAAAAAGGGTGCGCGTTATATGGCGAATATGAATATACCTAAAAAATTATAAAATGCAGTTTTAAATTACAGGCGTGACTTGTATACCGCTGCGCGTTATGCGCCGGAATATACAGTATTTGAAACGTCAGCATTGTTATTAACAGATAAATATTAAGGAAAGCATTCAAAAGGCAAGAAAATCCAACTTATATTGATATTCTGATACTGTTTAACATAATCAAAAGCTGAGATATAATAATACCTTGCTAGGCGACTTGTCCTTATCATCTTCCGTGGCTGAATCCTTGGAATCTTGCTTCAGTGAAACAAGATCAAGCTCATCCAGAATGGAGGTCCTTCGCCTGGAGTTGTCCAGAACGGATCGAGAACGTCTTTTTGACAGAGACCTGTGCATGGAGTTTGTAGAAGACATAGATGTGATGTCCAACAAGTCATCTGTCTGGCAAGAAGAGTTAGTTACATTACGAATAGCCTTCTCTATCTCCCTGTTGTCACCTTCACAGAAAGTATGGCGGCGTTTCGATCTCTTCTTGCTTTTCTTTCGTTTGATGACGAAATCAGCCTGGCATACAAAATGTTTCAATTAAATTACAAAGAAATGAATCTAAAATTTTTAACATATTGAAAAAATATTATTATTTTGATAAAGTATTTGAAAGCTTTCAGATTTTATATTACGCCCGAAAGGGCTTCCCCCCCCCCCATTTACACACACATACACATTTCGAGAGGTGTTTTGAAAGGATCTCGGCTGACGCCCCTTTTGGGATAAAAATATTAAAAAAAACCATATCTCTAAAATTTTCAATAGACAGTCTCGCGCACTGGAGATAAAAATGGTTTCATCGGTACACTGTTGCCATTGCTCGCTTTGAAATCGCTGAATTTTTTAATGAAAAATTCGTTAAAGTTTTACAAAATATTAAATAGATAATAAAACAGATTCGAAATTCAAAATTCGGGCTTCCAGGTGCCCATGTTTGGGTGGAGGACTACGTTGTTCAAAATTTGATAGCTCTACCTGTTTTTCTGGGCTAACGCGCCTTTGGGCTAAAAATACGAGAAAAATTCAAAAAGCACATTCCGTAAGTTACGCTACTTACAATTTTTCTCAATTTGTTAAATGTATCTAGGCTTTTTGAGCCACCTTATTTTCGAAACGAAGAAACAAAATGATATGACAACTATACGGTAGAGTGGAACGAAAAGAATTAAAAGACACACACACAAAAATAAATAAAAATTTGAAAGGTTTTAGATTTTAAATTACATGCAAAGAGGCGTTTTTTTTTAACGTTTTATGTGTTACCTTTATTTATTAAATAGTATCTATCATGTTCTTTGCACTTAAACCATAAAATTCAGTTCAATAGCAATGCTGCAAAATAATTTTAAAATGCGCCTATCTTTAGAATTTCCGATACACAGTTCCGCGCGCTGGAAATAAAAAAATATCCCCCCCCCTGTAGAGTGTTGCCATTGCTCGCTTTCAAATCGTTGAGTTTGTTAATCAAAAATTCGTTATAGTTTTACAAAATATTAAATCGATAATAAGACAAATTCCAAATTTCAAATGGTCTTCCACATGCCCATATTCGTAGGAAGATAACGTCATTCAAAATTCGATGGCTCTATGTACCGTTGTTTTATCACAATGCGAGAAACATACATTTATGCAGATATTTCATTGTTTAATTTCTTCAAATATAATACAAGTGGTACAATTCTTCAAATATAATAACATTTGGTGGCAACAGTTTGAAAAGTGAAACGGTCATTTATAGTGATTGAACGCAAAATCGCAAAACGAAAACAATACTCCTTCAGAGACAAAGCCCCTTTGAACTAAAAATAAACTTGATAAATAAATTTAAAAAAAAATCAATGTAAATAATACAAAGACAAATAAATAAATTACAGAAAACTGTATACAGATGGCAGCGAAAAACCAATCAAATATCCGCATTTAATAAATTCATCTCCAGTCAAAGCTAGGTTATCATAGTTTACAGCCTCCGACACAATTTACTTTTGGAGTCCTCTTACAAGAAGTTTCCTAATTTCTTTAAACGAAAATGTATTTGATTTGATTGAACAAAATGAAGATTTAGATCATATTTTGCGGCTCTTAAAACCCACTCCCACGTTTTAGAAACTAGGACGTAATAATAGCCTGGTACTAGTACTAAAACGCACTTAAACGCATGTTAAGAGGAGTGCAAACAAAGTCCAAAACAAAGAAAAACAAGTCATCAGTGGGACTCTGGGAAAGGGTTCCGAATGGTGACGGCCCGCTGACACTGGTCTTAGGTCCTGGGCACAGCTTTTCTTTTAGGAAGTCTTAATGTGTCTGCAGTACTGGGGACTCTGCAAAAGGGCAAAAATTCACCACATTTACTGAATTGTTAGTGCATGCAAAGGCCTCAGAATGTTACAAAACGACGAAGCCATTATGGCTATCAATGTGTGCGAGAGGGAAAATCAGGCTTACGGTAAAATTGTAAGATGATTGGGAAGGGCCTTTAAGACATCCGACCTGTGGGCCTAGACAATAATAAAACTTTGAAAACGGATGTAATTAAAAAAAAAGGGAGGAATAAAGAATTATATAAAGTTTTACACACAGTGTTATCGGCGATTTTTAAATACAGAACTCCACTTATTCGAAATGTCTTTAACACCCGTGTAAATAACAGGAAAATCCAAGGAATTCTCGCAGAGTAATTAAAACCGGTCAATCCTATCCTAGCCGACGGGCTGACACCATGGTTTGCCTTCTCGCCTCCATGAAGGCATCTCTCCGCCTAGGCAAATAGACCTCGTGTGCTTTGACGTGTTCAAGAAACCAATGAGACATTTTTGGTCTGGAAGCCTATATAAAGCCCGTATAAGGTAAGGTGCTCTTGTTTGCGTCGCCTCTAAGTTCAACACAAAACAAAACTCAAGCACAATCACAACATTAAAATACACGTGTAACGTGTATACGAGCCAGTTTCCCTTAGAAAGTCCTCCACGAAGGTATCCTTCCTCTTAGGCAGATAGCCCTAGTGTGCTTTGCCATATTCTCAATAAACCAAAACCAACATTAAAATACAAACACAACAATTAACACATATCAAGTAAAAAGAAACAAGGACACATAGAATTAAAAAATCTCAAGGCATAATATTAGTATCTCAATAAGTCAAAATGAATAAAATTACAAGTAAAACCTGCAAATCAATTCTATAAAATTCTAAGATCACTAAAATACAAATAAAAATACAATAAAAGACAATTTTTAGTTAATAAAGTTATAATTTTGATTATATTTAAAAAAACCACCTACATAAAACCTATATAATAAGGTATTTTTTCCTCCTTTATGCATGCCTTTCGTGGTGTACTTGCAAGCGTACTCGAAGCGTATTGGAGAGGTCTAGTGTTCCGAGTCCCGGCGAAGGCACAGCACAAAACCCAATGACTCTACAAGGCAACTACATATTTGTTGTAATTAATGTAATAAACCAGTTTGTACTTTTCCCCCCTTACTCTATTTTAATACGTTTGAAAATTTAAAAAGAATAAAATATTTTTATTTCTATTCAACAAAATGGAAAAAAAAAAAAAAAAAAGTGAATCAAATCAAATCACATAATTATTTTTATTTACTTAAGCACTTAGTCCATTGCTTTTACAAGTAAAACAAAACAACGAAGTTTAGGTTTATTTACGTTGGCTTAAACACAGAATCGTATTCTCTCAAGTGCAGATAAAACAGGAAAAACATCAGGCGGCTATAAACACTTATTATGGATAAGCAATGATTTCAACAGCAAACGAAGTATTGGTCTGCATATATTAAACAGTTATTTTTCTCTCATGTTTATAGCCAGCTATCGAAGCTGTAAGTTTACATTTACACGCGTGGTGTTTATACATATTTATACACGCGGTGATGTGTTATTAAACATTTTACGATGGTTAAATTAAGTTAGAGGATTGCAACATTTTTTTTTTTTTTTTTTTTTACTGTAAGCAAAAGACATGTCATAATATTCATATATTTTGATTTAATAGCTTATTTAATACTAATATTCTTCTATTTCTTGTATGAGTTAGATTAAAAAAATAAAAACGCAAAAAAGAAAAAAAAATATGGAAAGCTTACAGATTTATATTATGCCCAAAGCAGCGTTTTTTTTTAACGTTTTGTGTGTTTCCTTTATTTGTTAAATATCATGTTCTTCGCACTTAAACCACAAAATTCAACAACAATATCACATAATTTTAAAAGAGCAAATCCGATACAGAGTCTCGCGCGCTGGAGATATATTCCTCTTCCCCCTTACAGTATTACCACTACTTCCTTTGAAATCGTCGAGTTTGTTAATCAAAAATTCCTTAAATATACATACATTTAATTCCTTAAATATACAAAATATACATACAATAGGTAATAGAACAAAATCCAAACTCTAAAATATGGGCTCCCAGATGCCCATATTCGAGTGGAGGACTGCGTTATTCAAAATCGATGTCTCTAGGTACCGTTGTTTTTTCACAGAATGAAAAACATACATACATTTATGTAGATTCTTCATTATTTAATTTCTTTGAACGTAATGCAGGCGATAATATTTGGCGGCAACAATTTGAAAAGTGAAATGCCGTAGCCCTTCTGGGCAAATTGCCCAGACGAGCTAAAAATAACAGCAAGCTTAATTTTAAATATCTCGGAATACTAGTAAGCAATCTCTGGTTAATTAACAGTTACAGATACTTAAATTCCGAATAATTAATACCAGGTTAACAGTTTGTCATCGTTCAAAAAGTCAGAGAAAATTAAAAAATATAGAGAAATAATATTATAAGATTTCTATATGTAAGAACATATTGCTTTAAAATTACAAGTCAGTTGCCAGAAGTATTTTATGTAGCACATTAACTCAAATATAGAACAGTACTATTAACGGTTATTTCATTTATACAATTCACATCAAAGTATTACTTAACATTTATGAAGATGTAAAGAAATATAGTATACGTCAGTGACTGAAATAAACTCACATGAATTAAAGATCGTCTCAGAAGGGACATTCTCGTGAAACTTGTACCACTGGTATCTACAGGTACAACGACGGACGGGTACTCCAGGGCCACCAACATTGCTTGTTCCTCGGGAGAAGGTAGCCGCTCCAGTTCCAAGTTCTCGTTTTGCTTCAATGTGTAGCCGATAGATGGCGACACCATACTCTGGAGAAAAGCATTGCCAGACTCGTCCGCATCTTGCCTAGTTTTGGTAAGAGTGAAGTTGGCAGGCTGCAAAAGAAAAATACAATATAATATTTTCCCCCCAAAAAGTCAACAATACACATCGTCAACATTTAGAACCATTCCTTTCTGTGGATCAAAGTCATAACAATGGACAGTTCTGTGAATCGGGGGGGGGCAACAATCAAATATATGATTTGAGAGTTATATGATCTAAGATTAGGATCATTCTAGTTCCTTAAATAAAAGATTTGTCGACGAAGTTTTCAAAACTTGAATAGAAAAAGACAGTGCTTTTTTTATGTTCATTACTCTGAAGGGGGAGGGGAATTGTAACTATTTTATAAATTATGTCACATAATAAATTGTAAATTCTTCTTACATCGAAATATAAGGAAATCATCGCTCCCTTTTTTGATGTTTGCTACATCAGCGATTATTTATCTCATCCACGAATCCCCAAGAGCCCAAGCGTCAATAACCAAACGTTCTGCAATAATATTTCAAAAATCTGATTTAATGTATAATTTCATCAAAAATAATATAATTGTCAAGACTTTCGGGAAATAAAAGTCTTGATCTTTTTCAGAACAGGGTCAACTGGCAGAGTTTATAATGCGGTGTTTTTATGAAACTTTGTTTTCAAGCAAAATAAACATAGATAGCAAAATAACCAAAATCAAGTGAAAAGGTGGGTGGTCTTCTTAGAAAGTATACGCTATTTTTATTAACTAACACATTCCTTGTCAAAATTGGCCGCGATGAATTTAATAATTCTGGGAAAACATTTACATCTAACTAAAGAAGCACGAATACTGAATTTAAAAGCACTAGTGTCGAGTTAAACAAATAGTTTAGACATCACTCGAATCATAAAATGCTCAGAAGAGGAGAGATGATATTCTGACATATGATTTAAAGAAGATAGACGGGCAGACAAACTGAGATAAGTTAGTCGCCCGCTGAAAATAAAAGGTCCATATTATTTATAAAATATTCTAAGCCATTTTGAATTCTTTCCATATCTTTTCAAGTCTTTCAACCCCTCTTTAACTCGGGGGGTACGAGTTCCTTTAAAGGACATTCTAATCGCATTGGCTGTTACACAGTGACATTGTTTCCCCCCTCTACGTCACACTACGAGAGGGATGGCTTTGAAAGACACAGAGGGGATTACAACCCCTTTTCAAATTTGCTTCGTAATCAAGAGGACAGCATAACCACAGGTCTGTTTTTTATGTTTCTTTTTAAATTTTTTCTTGGTCTTAGCAAGACCCACGGCGTTTGTTTTCATTTGAATTTAATTTCAGATCTATAAAATTCATAAAGGTTTAATTCTTTAAGCTTGGAGGTCCAACCCGTAAGTTATTGTATAGTTTGACTAATAGCAGACCACTATTTATTTTTATTTTTATTTTTTATTTTTATTTTAGCTGTACATGAGTTGCATTTACATTTTTTACACCTTAATGTGTCATTTTTTGCGGACGCGTCGGGAAATCGGAACAGAGAATTGAAGCTTCAAAAGATTTTTTGGGACAATTCATATTATTTAAAAAATTTTTCGTCACACAAGAGCTTCAATTGTCTGTTTCGGCGAAACGCGTAATGGTGTTAGCTTGGTTCGACGTCCAATTGAAATTTCCCTTGAAAAGCCAGGTTGGAGGTCGAATTAGGCTAATTTACCATTTTCCGCTTTGTAATTTTTATAATTTTATGTTTTTCATATGTTTTAATTTTGTTTTAACTTGTTTCGTCGATCGGTTTTTTATATGTGTTAACTTTCCACTTATCACATCGATAGGTTTTTTACTGTATTTTTTGCCATTCACATGTTTCCAACGATTGATTTTAACTGTTTTTTTATATTCTACATTTTATTTCGCGCGTAGCCTAATTTTTCACCTTTCAATGTCATTGTTTTTTTTTAAAATACTGCGTTGAAGTATTTCTTGGAGCCACAGCTTCTGGTAACTTTTTGGCGAGCTCACTACAATTTTTCTTATTATTATTTATAAAATAAATACAGGCGAAGCCGCTATTAGTGGACACTAGTGGAGCCACGGACAGCACAGACTGACATGACAGAATGACATCAGAAAATATCCTCTAGATAGGTGTGAGTTGAACTGCTACTTCGAGGGTCCACATGGACTCAAGAACTGTCCGTTAAAAGGAAGCACCCGTTAGAGCTGGACACACTGAGCACTTGCCTACGGGACTCATGCTAAGCCATTTACATTTGATTTTTGATTGGTTGTCCTATTAGGGGGCCTCAGCACACTGGTTAGTCCACGGGCCCACAGTGCTGTTAAGACGGCACTGGCACCCATTAAGGTGAACTGTCCGTTAACGGAAGTTTGACTATATAGAAATATGAGTTTCATTTTACCTTTCTCGTCTCTATGTCTAGGATTCTTCTTCGTTTTTTCCTCGCTCCTCCAAGCACGGGAGTAACCATGAAGAGGTCGGAGGAACTGAGTCCATCGTTCCGGTACCGGTCGATGGTACAGATGACGGCAACGGGTGTGGTACACGCACTTCCGTACAGCTTGTCTACGCATGGCGGTCGTGTTGATGGCAAGAACAACTGCGTAGTCTGCTCGTACCTCGTCACATACGGTTTGCAGGATCGTAATATGCGCGATGCTTCAGTTAGATCTGACACGGCTGAAAAGAAAAAACAAAACATTTTTAGAATTTTTCTTATTAAACAAAAGAGCAAAAGATATCCCACTAAAAGAATAAAACGTGTAAGTGAAAAGAGTTTACCTAAAATCAAACAGCGTAAATGTAACCAAAACATCATCACTTAGCAGTGATTTTACATAGTCCAGGGACAGTTTCATAAGAACTGCTATGTACGATCTGATACGTACTATATATATATACCTACAGTTCTTATATTCAGGACCTGATTATTGCCTAAACCCGCAAGCTTAACATAATAATTTCAGTGGAGGGAGGAAAGAGTTTCATTCTATAATTAAGCCTAATCTGCTTTTCGTTTCAAGGAAAGTAAGCAGTGGCTGGGGGAGAGGGGGCAAGTATTCTCGTAAGAACGCAGAGCCCAAATTTGTTTTAATTTGCCTAAATCTGTAGAAGGAATAAGTTATCCGTATATAAACGTTGTTATCTTTCTAAAACAAATGTGAACATAAGCACAAAGGCATACGCAATTTGAACCGATATTATTTACTCAATCACGTGACGGGGTATGTTTCTTTGAGCATGGCCATCTATGCTTTCATTTCCCTCTACTTTTAAACAGTCTTCATCTAAATTGTTGCGTGCGTACGGGTTCGTAATGGATTGAATGCACAAGTCGATAAAAAGTTAATAAAATGTATTCTTATTCCAATAAAAACAAAATGCTGAAATTTCCTCACAGATATTCGTACAATATCTCCCAATAGTTAAATTTTAAACTACTAAAACGTTTAACAGAACGCAATTTAAAGGAAGAAAAGCTAATCCGATGTCACTGTGAATTCGCTACAATCAATAACAGCACTAACAACTGAATTGACATGTTTTAATCCGGCTTTTGTAAGCTTTTTAATCACGCACGAGAACATTCTGGTATTTTCTCGATTTTTCTGGATAGCAAAAGAGTACAATTACGAGATTGTATTTATTAAATGCGCGTGTACCTGTCCTGTACTTTTACGTTTTCGGCGTTCGGCACGCGCTGCGCAGCACGGGGGAATGATACAATTTAACTACAGTTCTACTAAAAATAGCAAACTAGATGCAAAAAAACAGTAATAATTTTATTAAATAGGAATGAAGAATCCTAATGAAGAAGCTGCATGTATGTGTGTTCCTCACATTGTGAAAAAAACTACTATACCTACAACCACCAGATTTTGCACACACACACACACACACACACAAAAAAAAAAAAAAAAAAAAAAAAAAAAAAAAAAAAAAAAAAGCCCTCAAACCGAACCATGTTGCACATCGAAGACCAGATTCGGATTGGTTTTTATATTTCTTTTCTGTTTTATGCGAATTCAATGACGTTTTTATTAAAAAAACTCAGCGATTTAAAAGGGATGGGCTGCCATTCGGGAAAAACGTGAGATATTTAAATTTCGATTTCAACTAAATTTCAAATTTAACTTGACTATTTAAAGGAAATGTGTTGCCACTCCACAAAGTAAGATATTTGTCTTTCAAATTTAATCAACAAATTTAGTGATTTAAGAGAAATGTGTTGCCGGCCCGAAATAAAATATTTTTTATCACCAACGCGCCTGCCTGTTGCCATTCGCAGAGCGTAAGATACTTCATTTTTCTTTAAAATTTAATTTTTCTATTATTAGAAAACCAAGCGGAAGAAAACAGTAAACGCGGATCTTCATCTCTGTTATTATTATTAATAATTACTATCTGGATCTTCAAAATGATACTAGTTGACCTCATTAAAATTTTTACATATATCTTCTTTTTTATAATAAATATTTCATCTGACAGCGGCTAGTGTCGTACACAGAAATGAAGAATGGAATTAATTAAAGGTTTTAATTGCAAGAAAAGTATTAGAAGATCACTACATCACTCAATTAACTGGTAAATATGAGTACTTGAGTCTTAACAGACACGGGTTTTTCTATTTCACATATCAATGAGATACATTCCGCAAGAGAAAAGAAGAAAGAATGAGCTTGTTTGTTTACATTCGCTATACGTAAGTCACTTCTGAGGTCATTTACATTGTTTGTTTATATTAGCTATACATAAGTCACATGATCACTGAAGCCACTGTTTGTTTGTGGCATTATCTCCTCCGGAACGGTGAGGAGTTGAGTTTCAGAGAGGTACCTCCAGATTCCAAAAATTCCTGGGAAGCCATTTCGAACATTCTCATCGAACCATTCTCATTCTCTTCGTACGACTTTAATCAGCCGAGATATTAATTAAAAACTTCACAAACGCTAATTTTTGCGCGCATTTTTCCGTAGCACGCCTTCATAGTGTAATGGTCAGCACGCTCGGTTCGTATTTCGAGAGGTCCGAGGTTCGAGTCCCGGCGAGGGTATTGGTCATTTTCCATCACTCCTGCTTCGGAAAAAAAAACCTAATGTCTCTACAGTGGCGCCGGAACTAAAAGTATGGTGGATGATGATTCTCAACCACCAGGATTTGGCGATTGGGCCTCTTAATTCCCAGTCGCAATTTAAAACGGGGAGTATATAAGGTATTTCTCCCGCCTTCTTAGCATGCCTTCGTGGTGTAATGGTCAGCACACTCGGCCCGTATTTCGAGAGATCCGAGGTTCCAGTTCCGGGGAGGGCATTGCTCATTTTTCGTCTCTCCTGCTTCGAAATAACCTAATGCGTCTACAGGCAAAAATCTGCTTTAGTTTGAAAAGTGTTGCCACTGCTCGCTTTCAAATCGTGCAGTTAATTAATAAAAAAATTGTAAGTTTTATTGCCACATTAATTCTTTTATTGATATTGAGAAAATATTGTTATATTACATTAAATTTAAATCGTAACGTCATACATATACGTATTAACCTGACGTGTCAAAAGTTTTGCTTCCTGGTTTGGCAACAAAAGAATTGTTTACGAATTGGTTGTTGCTTGGAAAGAATGAGCTGATTTCATTAATTCTGAAATGTTTTTATACGTTTTCTTTTCAAGTGTACATAGCATTTACAAATTTTGCTTTGGCCACTCATCTGACTGGGTTGTCCGCTAATGTCCTTATTAGGCGTACTTAATATTTTGGCACCCAGCCAATAAGTTTCGCGCTTTCCGTCGCTAGACTATATTAATATCATTTACGAATAACATTATCCAGTAGAATACTTTCTCCCTCTTCGAAATGTTTTTTGGGGGGTTGTTATTGTTGGGGGGCTCGCCTAATGCAGTCTATCTTTATACTGAGTGATGTACCTTCATTGTATAATATATCTACTATATTTCAGAGTAATTACGCATGAATTTATGAAACAAACTCTTCATGTCGTTCAAGTTTCTTCAATCTCTCAGCAGTTTTACAATGCAAAATATAAAATACGATTTCTTATTTAGACATTTAGTTATCAATATTTTTAGCTGGGAATCAAATAATTGCAAATAAATAAAAGTATCAGTGAAAATTATTTTTTAAATATTTGCTCTATATTTTAAATATTTACAATATATTATTTAGTGTTTATTGCAGAAATATGTTCTAGAGCATTTCTAATTTTTTTTTAACCTCTTGATTTACTGTTGAAAGTGTTTAGCGTATCTTAGAGAAGTAGTCTTCAAAGTGGGGTACGCGAAAGAAGTACGCTCATGATCACTTGTATAATCGTACTACGGGATTTCAGAAAAGATATCATTAGAAATGTTTCCATCATTGTGTGATTTCGCTCCTGAAACGTAAGTAAATTTGGAATAAAACCAATTTACCGATTTTACATAAAAACAAAGTTTTAATGAGCCATGAAACCCATTTGCTGAAAATCTAAAAGTAGATCATCTTTAGACTGCAGCTCAAAAACAGTTAATTGACATTAGAGAAAAACAACGTTACAATCCGATTTTAAAGAAAAAAAATGCCGCCCTTTTTGTTGGATATGATGGAAAAGTGAATATCCAGATTTTGCAAGCACGAATGCAATTGGTCCTAGATATCTGTATGAAGAAGCATTTCCTGTAATTACAACAATTAAAACTAAATGCATAAATAAATTAGAATTAGAGCCTGATCTTCGAACTGCATCATCAGACTGCTTAACTGGAATACATGCCACCTAACCGAGACAGTTGTTAGCGATGCTAACTAACGTACCGAAGGACCCGGGTTCGAATCCCGGAGAGGGCATGGATGTTTGTATAGTGTCTGTGCGGCATGAGGACACTCTACGTATGCGGTCAGCAAGTCCTATGGAGAGGTTCATGGTACGGAAAGACAGGTGGGAGAAACACGGACCCGCCCCCCCTCCAGCAAAATTTGGGGGCTGAATTCTCGAGACTACATATACACACACCTATATATTACATGGAGTACAACTTATACTTATTTTTTTCTTAGGAATACGAGATCAAAAAGTTCGGAAATCGCTGTCTTCGAGTATAAATACACATTTATATTGAATGTTAGCTGTATAAAATGACCATCCCCATAGAAGGCACCAATCGATAGGAAACATAGACAATCGTCTTGGAGACAATTCACTGTAGCTTTACGAATACGTGAAACAACTTATTTATACATACAGATACAATATGCGTGTAATGAAATCAATTTTTGACAATGACGTAACTATCAACGATGAAAGCTGATCATGAGAAGATGGTTACAATCGTGGTCAGTTGAGCACATTTTATATCTTGGGGCAGACGCACACAGCTTAGCTACCACAAAACAGTGTGACTAATTTTCGAAAAATTAGTCACACTGGTAATTTTTATTAGCCCTAAGGAGCGGTAGCTCATAAGAGCTATTAGTCTCAAAACTAGATTTTACGTTGAATCATTGTAAAAGGCTGAATCACTTTTCAAATTGTTGCCATCAAAGATTATCGCCCTGTACCATTTTAAAAGAAATTAAATAAATGGGAATTCAGAATGCAGGTGCATTTCTCGCAAAAAAAAAAAAGGGGGGGTACCTAGAGCCATCAAATTTAGAATAATGTCCGAACATGGGCACCTGGAAACCCGAATTGT